GGGGGCAAGGGACTTGCTGCTGACGCCAACGTGCTGCAAGATTGATCGACTCGGCGCTGTTGACACGCAGAGATTTCCCCCCGTGCATTTAGGCGGGGCTCAGAGCGGGCCTGGGGCGGGGAGGGGCGGGGCGGTGCAGCGACACCGCGGGGGACCGCAGGGAACACTATACACTCGTAAACCGAAACGCGCCATGCGCGGCGGGGCTGGCGGCTTGGATCGGGTGGAGTACTCCATTTGAATTGCGCGCGTTGACTAGCTGGCTTGGAAACCGCTGAAAGTCCCCATCCATTTTTGTAGTGATTGTTGTGCGCCCGATAGCGAGTAGGCGACACGCCCGCCCCCACCTCTGGATCCGGTACAGTATCACTATACGAAAGTGGCCCTGGCTCTTTCATCAGCCGTTTCTCCGGGGCCGTTGTTTTCAAAGATCAACCTCTAACATGACGTCAAACTAACCGTAGATGTCGTTTCGCCGTGTAGTATGTGCGCCTCACTTTGATAGTGCCCCGCCCCCTGCCTTCTACGGTTTCCTTGAATATGCAGATGACTTTCCCCCCCATCATTTAGTGATTGACGCCTGTGGCCGGCCGGACCCGGCCGGACCTACCCTGTTGGGAGAGCGAGGCGCGGGCGCGTGACTGCCGCACCTTTGGCCTGCCTTTGGCCTGCTTGCTTTACGACCCCGAGGGTGAGGCGAGGCGGGCCCGCGGGGGCGGCCCTCGCGGCCCTGTGGGATTACCCTAAGGAGTCCTGAATTAATGAGCGCACGTGTCGTAAAACGGGGCCTACGGTCGGAACAAATCGGATACCCACATCCTTCTCCTTTCTTTTTGAGAGAGAGAGAGAGAGAGACTGAGGCAGCCTTGCGCGTACGCGGCGTGGTGAGGGGATGGCAATATATACTGCTGGCTGGGTGCTGCTGCGTCTTCTGCAGGGGGACTTCGTCGTCTCAGGGGCTTTGTAAAGAGCAGGGGGAAAAAGTGCTTGTTAGGTCGGCTTTGCCGATATCTGTATGGTTTTATTGTTATTATGATTGGTTTTAAGAATTACAAAAATAAAATAAAAAAATTGAAATTAATGGGGTTGTTAAAAAAATGACGCACTTATATGACAAGTTTGATGTAGTGTGCGACGCCCCTCTGCCTGCGCGCGCCGTGACCCAACACCAACTCGAAACAACAACGTACCTAATCAAATAATTGTCATCTCCCTCCTCCTGCGGGCCGCGTGTTCCAGGCGGCTCCAGGCGGCGGTCTCCAGGGTTCCTCGGCCCGTCGCACTCCGGGCCGTGACTGGGGGCAAACGGTGCAGGCATTAGCGGGTCACTGACAGGTAGAAGACCTCCGGTCACATTACAAGTGCAAGATCGTCGCATGCTGTTTTTACTGCCCTCAACATGTACTCTAGCAAGAAGTGATGGCGACAGTGTTGACCCCCTTTTTACAACGCACTTGAGGTTGTAAAAGTGAATAATATCCTCCATTATTAAACAACACCTACTTCATGCGTGGCATTGCCATTACATTGGAATGTACTGATTTGCGAAATTGTTCCCAAACAGCTGTAAACTTACAATTTTCCCATAGAAAGGGTTTGTTGAGTTTCCTTCAAAAGAAATCCTAGGTAATCGTGACATTCGTTTGTGTGGTTTCTCTGTTTGCAGCGCACCACTATAACGTGATGGAGCCACGTAGCCGAGTACGCGGCGGACTGCGGACTCGCTTCCCTTTTCTGATCGGATGCGGAGGCGCCGAGGTGCCCGCCGAGGAGGTGAGTACCCCCATGACCCCCACACCAACGGGGCATATAATTCTGCATATAATTCTTGCCTCCATGCTGCCGACGCCGCGGGGAGCTCTCACTGAAAGCGGAGCACGAGAGAGAGATAGAGGGAGAGAGAGCGAGAGAGCGAAAGAGCGAAAGCAGGAGAGCGGTACAAAACGCTGGCTGCCCGCCGCACACTCGTCGCACTCGTACTGGGCGCGCAGATTCCTCGATATGCTTCCACAATAATGGTCTGCTGGTACTCGTGGTCCTCTGACCATAAACCAGCGATTTTTGTACACATTAAAAATAACGCTTTTAGGTTTTGTTTTGCACCCCACCCCGCGACACTCTTACTCTCTTTTTGTTCCTCGCCGTGCTGTTGCCTTCTGCATGTACGGACGTAATGCGTGTCGGCGTCGCGCGCTGGAGATGGAGATGGGCCCTTTGACCTCCGCCCCTCTCTCTCTCTCTCTCTCTCTCTCTCTCTCTCTCTCTCTCTCTCTCTCGCTCTCTCGCTCTCTCCACTCCTTCTGGCTCCTGATGACCTTACGGCTCATTAATTGGACTGGGATGGAAAGAGAGGCGGAGGCACCAGGAGAGGAGGGGCATGGGGAAGTAAAGTAAAGAGGAAGAAGAGGAGCATGTGATGGACCCGAGCTGGCGCTGGTCGTGTTAATGATGATGCAAAGAGAAGGGACAGAAAGGAGCAAAATGGGAATTAATCAAAGAAAAATCTCGATTCGCACCACTTTATTCTATTGCTTTGCGGATTATATATCGGTCTTCCATCGCTCGTTATCGCACCCGCGCCAGGGAAAAGAAATGTCCCGCTCGTCATTATCCGACATGACATGTTGGTAGATGGCGGTGTCGAGGCGGCCACAGTCAGCTGAAATGTCGTTGTGCCCGGCGTTGCCGCTCCCCCCCCCCCCTTCCCAACCCTTGCCCTTGTTCTGCCCGCTGTCCGTAAGATTTTTGGCCCCGACATGGTATGGGCGGCCGACCCGACCCGACCAAGAGCGGGGAGCGCATTTTCTACGACCCGCTTGGTAAGTTATGTGGCGAGGCAAAACTGATGCGGACACGCGATAAGTATCAAGACATGCGGCAATAGCTATGACATGAAGGGACTGAGCGAGGGGCAGAGAGAGAGAGAGAGAGAGAGAGAGAGAGAGAGAGAGATGGCCTTGCAGTGGGAGACGTCTCGAAGGCTCAAGGAGACGCCATAAAGCTGGGCGGACGGAACTGATGGCGCCCAGCCTCCTTATAATATATATCTCCGCGGGCCATAATCATAAGAAATTTTCATCGGAAACCAAACGACGCTGCCGATTAAATCTGGCTGATGTGTCCTTTCCTTATCGGCGTCCCGTTTTACTTACGCGACTTAGCTGGAAAGACACTGCCAACAATTCTCCCTCTCTCTTACTCTTTCTTTTTCTCTTTCTCTCGCTTTTGCTGTCGCTGTCGCTCTCCCCCCTTCCTTTGCTCGTTCGCGGAAAGTGAATTGCTGTGAAAGTTTTCTAGGAGAGTTTTGTGCCTCGGCGGCGGCTCTAGGGGATGAACCTGAGGCGGCGCGAGAGGACTTGACGAAGACGGCGCGGGGCAAGAGGGCGGCGGCGGCTTTCACAAGACCACAACAAAAACAAAGGACCTGCTCGCCCTGCTGCTTTCAAATTCATCGGCAGCGGCGCGTTATCTCACGAAAAACTTATAAGTTTCAATGGTCCAGTGCGGGCGGCGGCTGGGATCAAACTCTGCCGGCCTCGGCCTGTTATCCTCTGGTGGTCTGCGAAGCTTGTGAACTTTGATGCCTCTATAATGCCGCCAGGCCGAAGGCCGAGGCCGTGCTGGGGTGTGCCGGGGCGTGGCGGGGCGTGGCGGGGCGTGGCGGGGCGGTGTGCGATTGTCTCTGCTAATTAGGGCCCACCAGTCTGAAATGGCTCCGTGGAGGCCTAGGCCGAGGCCGTCGCGGTGGAGGCCTCCTCCTTGTAGCGCCGGCCCGGAGCGAGCGTACCGTAGGCGGGCGGGCGGGGGGTGGCTGCTGCTGCGGGGGCTGAGCTGAGCTGCGGGCCTGGCGCTTGCGGCTGTTTGATTTCTGAGATTGCCGGAGGCTCAGGCTGACTGTGTGTGTGTGTGCCAGTGTGTCCATGTGTCGGAGCGCGCGGTTCTACCTGAGCCCCTCGCCCTGTTCGGCCCCCAGAGCAGGGGTAGTGCGCCGTAGTGCGCTGCGCTAGGGGTGTTGAGTTTCGCAGTGTGACAGTGACCGATGTGAGCGCGATGCGCATGCCGCGGGGTGGGTGGGGGGTAGGGTTGGGGGGTGGAGAGGGGGGGAATTGGCCGCGGCCGGTCGCTACTGCTGATGCGACTATTACTCCACTCTCGAGCCCCCCAACCCCCAGACCCAGCGGCTCACACTGGGGATGATTCTTGTTAATCACGCCCGAGGCTTAAGGCGAGAGGTTCGCAAAGCCTCCGCAGGGCGCGGCGTGGTGGGGCGTGGCGGTGTTATCGCCGTTTGATCCCGCGACGCGCACTTTGCGCTCTCTGCGCCTCACAAGCAGCCTCAACCAGGCTTCTACGATGCCCCCCCCCTTCTCTCTCTCTTTCTCTCTCTCTCTGTACCACCCGAGCAACCGGCAATTATTTATCACCTCATTGCGCCAGAATTTATCCTACCGGAATAAACTCGCCCCCCTACCCGCCCCCACTCCTTACTCATGCCACCCTCCACTCCTGTGTGCATGAAATATCTACGAAATGACTATACAACATATCGCGTTTATAATGCATCCGGGGAAAACTTTTTCGAGCCACTTTAAGAGCGCGCGCGCGCGCCCCCGCGCACACAAGCGGAAGCAGTTGGCCGGGCGTCACCTCGACATCTCATTAGGCGCGGCGCGGTTCAATTTAAAAGTCATCAAAGGCGTCGCGACGCCTCGGTGGCGCTGCGTGTGTAACATTGTAGTTGGGGTGGGGACATCACGCGCTGTGGTGTATGCCTCGCCCCCCCCCCCCTCTTATCCTCGTTTTGCGCGTGAACGTGTGTGCCGTACACGTAGAAAAATAAAATTCAGTTCATCAGTGCCAATCAGTTTAGCTGGATAATTTTACATTCGTGCAAAGCAAATAAAAATAGCTGGATGTAATTGAGCTAACGGTTCATTGAAGTTGCGGTTTACTGAGAGGCTAAAAAAATAGTCGAGTCTATTGACTTTATTCTTGAACCCCGGTGCTAAAAAATCAGCAGAGATTCGATTTATTTTTGCATGTGTGGCAAATACGCTGGTGGACGGACACAGACCCCTCCTATGCGACCTACTATCCGCGACTCATCCCGGCGGCACGGCCAGTGGCGCCCGCCTCGGCCCCGCCTGCCCCCGCCCGCCCCCGCCGCACTGCCCCGCTGCCGCCGGCCCTTATAGCCCCCCTCCTCTCCATCCCCCGCAACGGCCTTTAAGGCGGCCTGATTTGTTTGCTGGGGTTGTTTGCCTCCGGTGATGGGATGACCGAGACCATTCGCCCCGATCCTATGCGCGGCCCTCCCTTGTGTATACACACACCCCATGATACCCGCGCGCGACGCACAAGAGCGGCGGGTACTTTTCCTCGCGCGCGAAGCCGCGCCGGCGAACCTCTTCTGCAGTGGAGGGCTGCCGTTCACGTTCACTCCAGTCGACCGGCCGCACGGGCAGCTGAGCTGACAGGTGCGGCTGTCGCGGGGAGGAGTAGACCAGTGGGGCGGGGGAGAATATGACACTCTGTCAACCTCCCCTCTGCGAGCTGCTGATGCTTATTGTCCGATGATATTATCGTGATGGAAGTACGACGCCGCTCCACGACGCGCCCCGCGAGGTTGGTGTGCTGGGGTTGCGTGAAGCCGGTCACGGTGTACTCAAAAAGTACAAAAGTATGGTCAGCATCGCTGTTGCCGTAACAAGGACAAAGAAATGTATCGCACTGCTGCCACACAAGCGCAGGACCCGTGCTTGTCCAAGTGTTGGTACCCTAGTTATGTTTTTATATGGATTTGTAGATCATATACATGCACTACAGTCTACAGTATATTTACATATGACGCAGTCAGATTCTCTAAAACCCGCTCCAAGTTGTTATGGGGGAACCATTGATCAGCACCTCGGGACGGTGCTGACTCGAGCATAGAGAGAGAAACGAGGGGATGTGGTGAGGGGTGTGGGGGAGCCATACAATGGGGTGAGGCTGATTACAACGTTCTCAGGAGTCGAGTCGGCATGCACACTACACTGTGCCACATCAGACGCTCTCTCGCTTGTGGCCAGGCGAGGGGCGGGCGCAAGGAACATGTGGATGCCTCTCTGCGCAGCCGAAATTCTCCCCGGATAGGGGGCGGCTCACCCGCCAACTACCGCCGCCACCGCCACCGCCGCCCCTCACTCCAAAGCGCCGCTCGCGCACGGACCGTTCCGCGAAATATTTACCTCCTCACATGTCTCTGGTCTCGCTTGTTGTTGCTTCGCTCGGCGGCGTGGGGCGCGTCGGGGGAACAAAAGCGTCAATAACGTCACGTCTTTATTGGGCCAAGGCCTTTTCGCGGGATGAAATTCTTCTTCCTTCTTCCTCCCGCTCACCCCCGCTAGCTCTCTCTCTCTCTCTCTCTCTCTCTCTCTCTCTCTCTCTCTCTCTCTCTCTCTCTCACCCGCTTCTCCTGCTCTCTCTTACTTCTCCGCCCTGCCCCATTTCCCTTCCTTCTCCTCCTTCCCCTTTCAATTTAGAGCGTGGAGGTTCCACCGAGGGTAATCCTTCCCCAGCGCCCAGCCCCGCCCCGCCCCGCCTACCCACCACGCCCGCTGTGGGACGCACAACCCTGCTCGCTCATATGTGGAGCTCCAATTTATTGAAATGAAATGCACCGGCTTGGTGTTGTCAGGTCGTGCTGGGGCCGCCAGCGCCGGCCAAAAAGTGCCGCGCTCTCCGCCTTCTTGTAATGTCGTTAGTGCAGAGCAGTGGCCAAACGCACCGCC